TCTTTCCCTCTCCTCAGGTGAACCACAAAGCTCCAGGCAGATCTGTACGCAGTAGAGCCCCACCAGACTCAGGAAGGATATATTTCATGTATTAGAAATAGACCTTTGTTGATTTAATGTACTGAGATTTGAGGGCTGCTTGTGACCAGAGCATAACCTTGACAATCCTGACTAATGCATACTTCAAAGATGATTAAAAGAATGGACTGGTAAGAGGCTCATGGAAAAAGGTTAAAAAAAAGCAGATCTCAGGCTTAGAATAGAGATAGCTCGGGCACGATGTGATGATCACTTACAGCTTTATGGAGCAGATTCATTTAATCCTTCAATAATATTTGTTCAGCACCTGTTATGCACCAGGGTCTGTTCTAAAGGTGTGGATACAGCAGGAGAAAAATAGAAAACAATCCCTTATGAAATCTACATTCTAGTGGAAGAGCCATAATAATCTGGATAAATAAGTAAAATGCATATAAGTAAGAAGGTGATAGGTGCTGAGGAAAAAAGTAGGGAAGGAGGGTAAAAAAGGGTCAAGGATGGTGTTTGATCCTCACACTCATGGAAAATAACTTATGAAAAAGAAAAAAGTAGATTGAAATCACATGTGAAAAACTTCTCTTTGGACTTGATGAAAAAGGTATGGAGCCTCATATATGACTGGTGAGAGTGTATATTGGTACAAACACTTTGGAAAACAAATGTGTAGTACCTATTAAGGATGTATATTTCTCATTATACAGCCTGTCTCTTCCTAGGAACCTGTTTAAGTTGGGGATTTTGAGAAGTGGCATGATGTGCCCCCGCAAGATTCATATGTTGAAGCCCTAACCTCCAGTCCCTTAGAATGTGCATGTATTTGGAGAGAGTGCCTTTAAAGAGGTAATTAAGTTAAAATGAGGCTGTTAGGGTGGGCCCTAATCCAATCTGACTGGTGTCCTTATAAGAAGAGGAGATTAGGACACACAGAGAAAGACACCAGGAACGTGGACCCACAGAGGAAAGGCCACATGAAGACACAGAGAGAAGACCACGTGAGGACCCAGTGAGAAGGTGGCCATCTGCAGGCCGAGGAGAGAGGCTTCAGAAGAAACCAAACCTGCTGACAGCTTGATCTTGCACTTCCAGCCTCCAGAACTGTGAGAAAATACATTTCTGTTGTTTAAGCCACCCAGTCTGTGGTCCTTTTGTTACGGCAGCCCTAGCAAACTAACTTGGTCAGTAGAAGGCAGTGTTCTAGTTCTTGACGTGCGTAGTGGTTACATGGGTTATAGCTCATAATAATTCAGTAATCTGTACATTAATGTTCTATGAGTTTTTCTGTATGAGTATAATACTTCACAATAAAGATGTCTAATTCTAAAACATGTTACTGAGGAAGATGCTTAGAGATCTCTCACAAGTAGGCATAAGAATAATTTGTAGGGATTAAGCATTCGCCCCTACTCAAGGTGACAGCTGAGTTCTGTGTGTGCGTCTCAAGAGTCGATGCCCACCGTTTAGCAGAGCAAACCCACTCACTGGGTCTTTGAGCAGGGGAAAGCCACCCGCCCTGATTAAAGGGGATTCTAGGCAAAAATCTGCTGGTCTGCAGGGGGCCTGAGGTGAGGAGAAAAACTTTCCCTAAGAGTCAGGCTGTGAAAAAGCAATGGAACAAAATGGAAGGTCGTACCTGCCACCATCAGGTACATGATGGCCTCGTCGTAGGATCTGCCTTCTTGGAAATAACAGCGGTAGATGCCGTTTTCGCGGGCTGTGACGTTGTGTATGATCAGCCCCACGCTCCCTTTGCTGATAGCTTCGCTCACAAAGGTTGTTCTTCCCCGGTACTCCTCCATCTGCTCCTCCGTTCTCTCTCGATGGCCCTTGTACACGAACACTGCAGGGGAGAACTGCGTCCGGAACCACCGCACCTCCATGCCCTCAGCGTTTTTCTCAGGTGACAGGTGGCAGTGTAACTTGGTGTCTTCTCCCACCATGGCCAGAATTGGATCAGCTGGTCCCAGGACAGTAAATTGGACTGTTCAACAAAGCGGTAGAGTCAGACAAGGGCACCAGCCATCAACTCTCTAAGCTGGGAAAAGAAGTGGATATACCAGGGCACAGACATGTTCTTTCTAAGGGGCTTCCTGGGCTCAGGATTCTGGGGGCCAAGAGATGTGGCTGGTTGATAGTAACAGACACCTAGCTGGGGTAGGAGGGGTGTCTATTGAGGATGCTAATTCTTCTTGAACAACACATTAAGAAGCATACCCTGATACCCCCCATGGACCCTGAGCTTACACAGATCTTTTTCTATTTCCCAAACCAGCACAGTGCCTGGAGTATACTATAAACTTGAGCTGTCCAATATGATAGCCACTAGCTAGTCCCAATTGTAGTGTGCTGTAAATGTACAGTACACACAATTTTGAAAATTTAGAAAAAAATGTTAAATCTCACTGTTAATATTTTACATTAATTAAAAGTTTAAATAATAATATTTTGGTTATGTGGAGTTAAAATAGATTATGAAAGGTTGTTTTATCTGTTTCTTTTTACTTTTTTAAACGTAGATACTAAGAATTTTAAGTTATATATGCAGCTCGCCTTTTGTGGCTCTCACTGGATTGCTAATGGAGGGCGCTGGGATCCGTTCGAAGACCGTGTGCAGAACGAAAAGGTGAGTGAACACAACTGCAGCCCTTCTTTACCCTTCCTCTTTGCAGACTTAAGTGCTGATTTACCTTTCTGAGAAGTTGATAGGAGTTAGTGCCATGCACCCCTACCTGAGACCGCTGCAAACAAGCTGAGGAGGTGGAAGAAGAGAAGGGAGCCTGGCAGGGAGAAATGCAGAGAAGCAACTGGCTCCATAAGCACCCACGAGAGGCAGGGACGGGAAGCCTAGAGAGACGTGGAGAATCAGCCAGGGAGACTCGGCACTACGGTTCTGATCTAGGTCAAACTTTCCTGTAACCCGTGTTGGTTATCATCAGCGCCCCAACTGCTGTCTTGGGCAGCCCCCTTCCTCTCCCGGTTCAGGTATTTCCCGATAGATGGCTTCATTAAACATTCCAGGGAATAAGCCAACAATACAACGATCGGGAAGACAGTTTTCTGCCCTCCTCGGCTCACTTCTCCGGCCAGAGTTGAGTTTCTTCAGACGTCACTTGATATTCTTCCAAACCCATCCTCCCTCCCTTCCCTTCCTCCTCGCCGTGAATCTGGCTCGGCACCAAGTCAAGCCAGGGGTGGAGAGCCTCCCTCCCCTCACCCCCGCCCCCGGAAGCATCCCCTACCCGGGACCCCGCCTTTCCCCTTATCAGGTTCTGTTCCTCCTGCCTACCGCCCCCCACTCCCCGCCCCACCCCGAGCGGTAGCGCGTCTCCTCCCTTTCTTACCTTCTAGAATTAACTTCTGCGTTTTCTTTTCTCCTCTGACGCTCAAATGATGATTTTCCGGTTGTCCGTCTTCCCCCTAAACCCGCCCATGGGCACAGGCACTACCAGACCAAACCTTCCCGAAAGCGGAGAAGGAACTTTTCTTCTCCTCCTGTTAGTCGCGGCCTGGGGGCTGCGGTCCCTGGGACCCGGTCCACTCGGGGACCACAAAGTCACAAGATCTCCAATGAATGATTTAGAGCAGGCCGTGGGTCAGCCAGCCAATGGCATCCCTGAACCTGCTTTCTCACCAGTTACTGGGTAGAATACACAAAAACAGCTTAGGACTTAAAAAACGCACAGCTGCCCGGAGCCTTTAAAAAAACTTTCCTTTTTCTTTCTTCAGAAGCGAGATACTTTTCATTTTTTTATTGAAAAGCCTTGAGATTCCCCGAGGATTTTGGCGTTGCTGCTAATCACCAGGAGAGGACTGCCGTGTGTAGAAGTGTGTGTGTGTGTGTGTGTGTGTGTGTGTGTGTGTGTGTGTAGTGTTTGGGGTTGGGGGTGTGATGACGTAAGCATAAGCATATCTCACAGCTTCACATGTTTCTTAGTCTTGGGTGGGATGGAGCCCAGTTGCCCACATGATAACCAACTGATTAATGTACCCTTTATGTAATTTTTCTCAGTTGGCTTTTCTCTCTTTATTTATTTTCGAACTTGAGTTTCCTGGGATCAGTTCTCAAGTAGACAACGTGACTCCAAGTCCTTGACTCAGAGTCAGCTTTTGGGGAACCCAAACTAAGAGATGGATTCGGTAGAAAGTTCACCAGACATCATCAACAGTGAGAATTATCTTTTCTGCAAAAGGACACTCTGACATGTATACCTGGGTTTAGTAAGTGAACGAAGGGCTACAGATAAAATTTCCAAAGAGTCACTCATTGAGATTCACGGGAATCTCCAATCATGGAGGCCCTTAGCGTATACGGGACAGAGGCCTCCTCCAGAGTGAGTGAGGCTGTGACTACGTGTGCTAGCCTGAAGAGTTCACACCAGAATCTTTACAACCTGTGATTATGACACATTACATGGCAAAAGAGTCCTTAAGGTTATGGATCTTAATGTAGAGAGATTATCCTGGATTCATAGGAAGATTATCCTGGATTATCTGGTTGGACATATCTAATTACATAAATTCTTAAAAGTGGAAAAAGGCAGGGGAGTCAAAGAGATTCAGTGGAAGAAGAAACGGTGGATTCAAAGACTGAGAGGGATTCAATCTGCCATTACTGCTTTGAAGCTGGAGGAAGAGGACCACGAGCTGAGGAAGGTGGCAGCTTCCAGAAACCGGCAATAGTCCTCAGCTGACAGCCAGCAGGAAATGACAGCCTCAGTCCTACAACTGCAAGAAACTAAATTCTGCCAACAATCTGAATGAGCAAGGAAACAGATTCTTCCTGAGAGCCTCCAGAAAGGAATGCAGCCTGCAGACACCTTGATTTTAGCCCGCTGAGACCCATGTTGGATTTCTGACCTACAAAGCTGTGAGATAATAAATTTATTTTGTTTTAGGTCACAAAATTTATGGCAGCAATAGAAAACTAATACAATAAGGACTTTGTGAAAATGTTGCAGTGAGGTAAATTGTGAAACTGTGGGGAGTAAACTGTAGGGGCTTAAAATCTAGAAAATGCTCAGTTGAAGAGTGAAGATTATTAACACATTTATTTAACAAAGGTAACTTGACAACCACACGCCCGGTAGAGGGGATACACTGGTGAACAAAATAGTGATGATAATGAAGGGTAACTTCTGCCCGGTACCCGTCAGCTGCAAGGAACATCCGTTAACATCAGTAACTGATCAGGCGTGGAAATATCCCTTTCCTGGAGATGGACTCTGCAGTGAGATCAAAATACTGCTAAAGTTCATCTAGCTTCACTCCTCCCAAATTCTTGTTCTACAGGCAGTCTTTAGGTATTAAGTTAGGCTTTCTAGAGACCTTAAACGTAGGAGGACTGCTTCTGGCTCCACGATTACCTATCACATTGGCCGGGGGGTGGGGGTGGGGGGGTGGAGAGGGGGCGGGGCGGTGGTGGTACTCATGCCCTTTAGTAAAGATTTTGGCCTTTAGTCCCTTTGCAGTCCTGTGTGATGCAGTCACTGTGAATTCATTCTCTGGACCAACTCACCCGGCAGAGAGCCAATCCAGCGAAGCTCTGGACCTATGGATCTGACTGTTGACCTTGAAGGAACCCAGTGGGGTGTGGCCTCCATAGACACCTACAGTGATCCTTACCCTGGGGTGCCCTGGGAAGGGACACTCAGGGCTGCACATGGTCCCTTCCCCACAGGGGCAATCGGGCTTGAAAACAGGCTAGGGGGTAGAGGGTGGGTGGAGGTGGGGGACAGGGGCCAAACATCCCCCGGCAGCACAAACTGATGAATTATATAAGTCGCTTAACTCAGCCCTACCTCAGTTTCCACGCTTGTGCAATGAGGCTATATCACAGGGTTGCTGTGAGGATTAAAGGAGTACATTTATTTAAAGCTTTGACACAACCCCCAGTACGTCATCCATAAATGTTTTATATTCAAATCACAGCTGTCATTTACTAGCTGAGTGACCTTTGGGAAGTGAATTCACTTTTCTGCACCCTGGTTTCTTTCTCCATGTAAAGGAGACAATAAAGCAGTATCAAACTCAACTGTCCATATGGAATAAATAATTGTATGAATATTAGTGAAGTGCTTCACACGGTGTGTGTCTTCGGTATTTTACGGTTGTGATGTGTTGCTGGTAGGGAAGAGGCCCTCAGCTTCAGGCTGGGCAGGGAGAAGCAAGGACGTTACTTCAGCCTGAGGCTTCCCATTCTCATCAGCTGAGCCCAGGGCCACTGGGGTCTTCAGAGAAAGGTCAGGTTCTAGGTCAGGAACACCGGAACTCCCCACTCCTGTCAATGCTGGGCAGATGGTCAAGGCAGTGGGCTCCAAGGTCAAAATCCTGAAAACAGGCCACAGAGGCCCAGAGAAGGAGGTGTGTGGGAAGGTGTACACATGAGATCCATCCGCGACGTTGTAGAAGGAGACCTCACCAGTCTCGTAGTCCAAGAAAATCCCTACTTTTTGAGGAGGGTTGGCAATTGTCAGTTTGGTCCGGGGGTCAGTGAGAGCCCGATAGTCATTCCCATCAGACAGCCCCATAGTCCAGAAGCCATTCTCGGGTGTCATTTTAATCCAACATTTTCTCTCCACGTTCTCCCTGCACACCCCGACGTGCCACTCTTTTCTGTCCCCAACCTCTACCTCCCAGTAGTGTCTCCCTGACGTGAAGCTCTTGCAGCCAAGCACACAGTAATGCCAATCAAATCTCTTGGGGTTGTCTGGCAGATTCTGTCGTTTGTCTGCTCGCTGCAAGCTCCTCTGGTCATCAGAAACAAGCAGGATGGGGTTTGCTGTGCTCGGATCCAATATCACATCCGCTGCAGAAAGTTTGGGGATGGGGTCATGGGTCAGCCATTGTTCCTAGATCTCAGAGCCTCAGCTCTCAAGGCTTGGGACTGGTTGAAGAAGCCCAAGTCCAGAGCTGGGTGTCCCCAACCTGCCCTGAATGTGACCCCCTTAGCAATACCAAAAGAAAGCCATCAGGGGTCTTAAGTTCGGTGGGAAAGAGGAGGGTGATGAGGGTCAGGGTCTTCTTAACTGACACCTGGAGCTGGCTCTTTCCTTCTACCTTTTTCCTGTTTCCCTCCCCGAAATGACTCTGCCCACCTGTGCTTCATAGGCACATAGGTTTAAATTTCAATCCTTGCACTACCACTCATGAACCGAATGTCTTTTCCTTTTCTCTTTTCCCGTAGACTTAAGCTATATAATATCTTTAAGCCTCAACTTTCTTAACTGAAAAATGGGGATAAAAATACTAATCTCTAGGGCAGGAAGACAACACATGTTGTGTATTTGGCTCAGGGCTGGGCATGGAGGAAGTGGCCTGATCTTATCAAAGCTGACAGGCCTTTTCTGTGCTAAGGGCCATGTTGGGGGCTTTATGTGCTCCCAGATCCACTCTCCAACTTGCTCCACCCTCTTCTGGGCCCCGGGAATCTGTCCTCTATGGACAGTGTCACTGGGTTCTCTTGCCTCTGGTCACCTGCTGGATTTGGCCAATGGGAGGTACTAGCTGAAGACTGGAAGGAGAAAGAAGAGAGACACAGCATTTATTTTTCCCTCTTTCTGCCCTGCCAGCTTCAGATGGTGATGCTCTAACAAAAGGATGGCTTTTCTCAGGCAGCCCTCTCCTTGATCTATAGCTTCCTCTGGGCCGCACCCTCTCCCTATCTCTTCAGGCCCAGGGGTGGTGACAGTTCCCCACTGTTGTGAGTCCTGGGGGATAGAATGTTCCTTTGTCGGCTTCCCTTTACTCTCTTTTTTGCCTTTGTAAATAGTTCCTTCTTTAAACCCTCTTCAACCACCCATTTTGAATATACCATCTCTTTCTTGCTGTTTTTTTGACCAAATACACATTCATGAGCTCATTTAGTCTTTACCTCAACTCTCACATAAATAGGAATTACAATCATCATCTACAATTGCGGAGACTGAAGCTCAAAACATCAAGTGACCTGAGGACACACAGCGGCAGGAGGTGGCATACGGAGCTTGGGAAAGGACAAGGTCTCTGAGCATTGCTTTCTCTCCTTGGTCACGTTGCATCCTCGCTCTCCCTGTAGTATTAGTTCACTCTGCCTGTCCTTCCCCTCAGCTCCACCTTTGTTGCCTCTTCCTTCCCATAAAGATCTATGGAAGCCCAGGAGAGCAATTCTCCCTAGTTCTCTGGGCTCTCAGTGGGAGGGCATGGGAGATGGGCACAGCCTTGAGATCGAGACCTCAAGTCATCTGCCCGGAACTCTCCCAGTCATGGGGACTTGTCCCAGAATCTCAAGACTTGGAGAAGAAAAAGGGAATATGGTCCCTCGGGTTGTTGTCCTAGGGGACGTAGTGATTCACTCACCAGCTTGGAAGAGGGCCTTCTTCCACTCTGAAAGAAAGGAGACACAATAAGGAAAGGTCATGAATTCTGATCTTTCCCTTACCCATTCTCCTCAATAAGCCTTTTCTGTGTCCCCTCAGTCTCTTCCTACTGGGAATGCCAATGGGTCACACAGCAGGAAAAAAGTTTGAATGCTTATATACATGTGCCAGGAAACTCAGAGGACATCCAGGTCACTCACCAGGATAGGCCTGAGACTTCTCCCCACCTACAAGGGAAGAAAGGCAGAGACGTCAACTGAACTCTGTCATTTCCTTTCTCCTCCTTTTGCACCCATCTCGCCTTCTTTTTGACCACCTACCCTTCCTCCTTCCTCCCTCTGCCTGTTCAACTCTTTCCTCCCCTCTCTTCCTTACGGGGGCAGGGGGTGGGGAGGGGGAATGAAGGCCCCTTTCTCCATTAAAAAACCAAACAAAACACTCATGATTCTCTCCTCCTTTCTCCCCAGCACCCACTTCCCCCCAGTCAGCCTCCCATATTTCTTTTCTTGGGAAAAAGGATCCAGAACATTCCTTCAGCCCAGGGCAGAGTTAAGGGCTGAGGAAACCGGCTGGAAAATACTTAGGCAGAGACAGTCTTGGATGAGAATTTGGAGAAAATGTCAGAGCCACTCACGAGCCATGTACTGGATCTTTCTCCACTCTGCAATGGAAGAAAGTGATGAGTCATTAAGAGGCCCAGCGGGGCATAGGAAGATGAGCTTGGGTCCCCGCGGGCATCAGAACTTACTGAGTTCGTACTCGAGTGTCTCTGGAAAAGAAGCAGAAAAAAAAAAAAGTACTGTTATGGGGATGGAAGGAGGAGGACCTCTAGAATATAAATCTTAAAAATGACCTAGTGCCGGGTTGGGTGCACAGGATGGGGATGCAGAGAGGTAGTCCGGCTCCCTCCTGTACACACAGGCCTTAGATTCCCTCTCGGGGTCAGATACCTTTTATTCTTTGTTCCTGCTCTTTTTCTGCTTGTGCTGTTTCTTTTTCCTCTTCTGCTCTCTCTTTCTCCATGAATAGAGCCTCCTTTTCTTTCCTCTGTAGCCACAGGAAGTAACCAGCCCCTGCGAGGAGCAGCAGACAGACAGGCAGCGTCCCCGCGAAGACAGCGATCCAGCGCTGGGCCCTTCTGAAGAAGGGATCTGCAATGGGATCCAGTCTTAGTCTCTCACCCTCAGGACAGGGTTCATGGAGTTTATTTCCTACCGTCAAATGATCTTTCTCTTCCTAAGTTCTCAGAGAACTTTAGGGAAGACTGCAGTAAACCCTAGTAAGGGTTTATAGTTATAACAATAGCAAATACCATTACTTGTCTTGAAAGGTCTGCCTCTCACATGTAAATGTGATACTTGAGCATCGCAATCAAGTTTTTTCTAATTAAAATTTACAATAGATTATATTCACTTGGTTCAAATATCAAATAAAAAAACATAAAACATCACCCAAGTCTCCTATTCACTTTCTCTGCCCACCTCCTTTAATTAGACTCATTTAATCAGCCTAGTATGGTGATTAAGAATGTGCACTTGGGAGCTGGGGGACCTGGGTTCAAATTCTGATTCCTCCACCTGACTAGCAGTGTGACCTTGGACTAATTAGTTAACCATTCTATTCCAGGTGTCCTAATCTGTAAAACGGGGGCGATAATAAAATTAATAATAATAATAATAGAATAATAAAACCTAACTCATAAGGTTAAAGCATTAAATTAATGTTTATAAAGCATTATAAACACAAAGTGAGAGCTATGCAAGAGTATATTAAATTTAAAAATATAAATGTATTCCTTTTTTTTTTTTTATAAATTTCTTTTATTTATTTAGTTTTGGCTGCGTTGGGTCTTCGTTGTTGCACACAGGCTTTCTCTAGTTGCGGCAAGTGGGAGCTGGTCTTCGTTGCAGTGGGCTGCCTTCTTATTGCTTCTCTTGTTGCGGAGCACGGGCTCTAGTCGCCCGGGCTTCAGTAGTTGTGGCACATGGGCTCAGCAGTTGTGGCACACGAGCTTAGTTGCTCCGCGGCATGTGGGATCTTCCCGGACCAGGGCTTGAACCCGGGTCTTCTGCGTTGGAAGGCAGGTTCTTAACAACTGCACCACCAGGGAAGTCCCTATGATGTATTCTTATTTTTTCTTGTTTACTCCAAAGATAACATTCTGTATAAACTGCTCTGTGTCTTGCTTGTTCTGTTCACATTGTATCTTGCAAATCTTTCCATATTATTACAGACAGAATGCCTGTGTTTCCTTTCAGAGCTGGGCAATATTCCACTGCATAAAAATTCCCCATTAATGGATATTTGCATAGTCGCTAACTTTTTGCTCTTATAATTAATGCTATAAGAAATAACTTTTTACATGGGTAGTTTTCTACACATGCAAGCATATCTGTCAGATAAATTCCTAGAAGTGGGATTTTGGATCAACAAGTAGGTAGTTTGGATATATATATTGCTATATTGCCCCCAATAGCAATTGTGCCAATTCATACCAAAAATATATCAAATTATGTATACCAAAAAATGTCTAAGAGTGACTGTCTCCTCACAATCCTACCATCAGAATGTTTTATCAACCAGCACTGTTTTGTTTTGTTTTATCTTGTTGCCAGTCTCACAAGTGGAAGATGTTTTAATATACATTTCTCTGTTGAGTGAGGTTGGACACTTTCATATGTCATTCCTTTTCTGTGAACGAATAATTCATATCCTTTGCTTTTTTTCTACTGGTTTGTTTCATATTTTAAGGAGATTAGTGCTTTCTCTAAATTATGAGTTGTACATATTCCCCCTGCCCCCATTTTGTCATTTGTCTTTGCTTAAGGATTTGATCTTTACCACTTATCCCCCAATTCCCATTGCCTGTCACAGTTTCTGGCACATAGGAAATGCTCAGTAAATACTTGTGACATTATAACAGGGAAAAAAAAACATCCCCGGAGTAAGAAGATGCCTCTGAAACCCTGCTCAGTGCCTCGTTTTCACTGCAAAGTCAGCACAGAGAATCACACGTCCTCCTTCTTTCTTTTCCTTTTTTCCTTTTTAAAATTCATTTTTATTTCATTTTATTTATTTTTATACTTTTCTCTTTTTAATATGGCTATGCTACATTTCAATTGGTTAATGTTTAAATTGTCATTTTTTCTACAGATTAAATTTTACATATGCCTCTTTTAAGGTGCATTTAATGGAATTTTAAAAATTGAAGTATAATTGACTTGTAATATTATATTAGTTCCAGGTGTTCACATCTTTCTTCTTCCAATAGCCACAGCTTGATATACCTGAGGCTAAGCAGGGTACTGACCTGCAATGGAAATCTGGGCTGTCTTTTCCTGGTTGAGGAGGGGATTTCTGATGATACAGGACACCCCTTCTCCAGAGCTGCTTTTCACCATTAGAGATGATGTGACTGCATACAGGCCCGCTCCATCTGTAGCTGGAGGTGCTGCCACAGCTGGCATGTTCTGGCCCTTGGCATCTCTCCACTGTATTTGGGGCTGGGGATACCAGCCCGTGGATGTGCACCCCAGGTGGATCCCTTCACCCTCATGGCCCTTCATTTCAATGTGAAGATCCGAGCCCAGAGCTGTGGAAGGGACAAATGAGCCTCAATTCATGGGAGCCTCCAGTATCAGCAAGGGTCACAGCAGGAACTGGATGGCACACCCATGTTAGATAATTAAAGTAGGGTTTCATTAAGAAGCTGTTTACAAAAGGGTGGTCATTAGTGAGGAGAAAACTATATGGGGTAGAGCAATACCCCAGGGCCAGGAACAATAGAGCTGTTACCACCCACCCCTAAACCCAAAGGGAGGTGGAGAGGAAGCCGTTTTGAAGACCTAAAAGGAGAGAGTCATGTAGAGAGGACTTTCATAAGAGGAGCTGTGATCTTTGGGAAGAGCACGCAGCCAGCTAAAGGTGGCCCTGCAGGGAGAAAGCCAGGGGCATAAGTACCCAGACTTCTCTCCTCCTCCCCTCCTCTATCTTCAGCTATGGCTCCCCATTGACCAAACTCAGCCAGAAGCCACAGTACAAGAGAATGCTCTGAGAAAGAGAAATGCAACCTTTGACATTGGACATGGGCCTGGTCTTGGTGTTCTCCTGGGGAACACGAGCCATTTCATGGAATGTCAGCATCAAAGGGCCCTTTGTCACTATGATGGGTCAAGACGAAAACAAGGCCAACAACAATCATGTCTGAACATAGAGAAAAACCCGAACACTGTCCAAAACACAACGAAGACAAAACCTCCTCCTGTCCTGGCTGTGAGTGACGATGCTCCTTTACCAGTCCCAGCTTTAGCTTCACTCTAGTCTTCCTCCTGGGTAAGATTTATGAAGATACCCACCCACAGAATTACACGCCCCCTCCTCCCTGACAGCATCCAATCCAGAGCAAAGCCTACTTCCATAAACGCTGCCCCAAATCCCCTAACAGAAGCCCAAAGTCTGTACCAAGTATCCTCTAACAGCCTCTTCCTGAGACCCCCAGTTCCCACATGGCATGGACTCCCCCTCCTGCAACAAGGATTAAAGTCAACTGGTACAACTGCAGGGGTGTTCCTGGGAACTCGGGTTGGAGAACAGTGGCTGTACAGACGCTGTCCCTACAGGTCAGCCTCCCAGGGCTCACAGCAGGATGTACCTGGAGGGGCGCCAGAAGCCACAGGGAACGCAACTGAACCCAAACCACTGTGCACCATCTCTGAGGAGATGTTTTCTTATCCTTCTCATCCCCGACCTTCCACTTCCCAGCTTAGACCCTGGCCACCAGCCGGAGGGAGTTCTCTACTTGATATGATAGGGTACAGGAGGGAGTCTTTCTGGAGGAAGACCTGCATCTTTCCCGAGGGCCTCAGAGAAACAAAGTTGGAAGGCAGCAGAGGCAGTTCCTGGTGATCAACCAGGAGCTCTGCGAGGTGGATTTGGAGCATGAGCTCTGTGTCTGCCCCCAGGCCCCACAGAGGAATGAGCTCAGAACAAAACCTGGAGGCTCACCTGCAACTTTCAGCTCTACCAAGGCTTTTTCGTAGAAGTTGCCATCTTGGAAATAACACAGGTAGTTTCCAGTGTCAGAGGCTCTGACGCTGTGAATTCGGAGAGCAGCCTTCCCTGCAGTGATGCCATCTCTTAAAAACTCAGTTCTCCCTCGATACTCTGCTGTCTGTCTGTCTTCTACTTCCTTGCCATGTGCATACATGAAAACTACCTGCCTGAGGCTGGATCTCACCCACTTCAGTTCCATGTTCTCTGCGCTCATCTTCGGCGACAGGTGACAGGGCAGCTCAGCGTCTTCACCCACCATGGCCAGGATGGGCCCAGGGGGTCCAATCACAGCAAACTGAGCTGGTCAGCAAAAGGGGGAAACTCCATGAGAGGGAGTTGGGGCCTTGATGGTAAGGGGGTGTCTCAGGCAGAAAAACCTAGAGAGGAACAGGATCCTGACAGAAGGACATTTGTCTTAATGGCATGTGTACTTTCAGTTTGTGACGGGACTTCCAGGAATGAATGGTCAAATGTTCTGACTGGGCGCTAACAGGTAACTGTCTGCTTCCGATACATAAAAGCAGCATCGTTCCCTACCTGAGCAAGAGGTGAGCAGCTGGACCAAGATGATGCAGACAAGGAAGTGGGGCAGAGGGAAGTCTAGGGACGGTGCCATTTTCATCTGTGCTGCAAATAGAGAGAGGCAAGGAGTCAGGCAGAAATACGGCCTGGAAGAAGATGGATAATTCTGCGTGGAATTCTGAGGTTTCCACGCAGAATTCTCCACCTCAACAGGGCCAACTCAGGGCGAAACTTTTCACAATTGTTCTGGGAATTCCCTGGCGGTCCAGTGGTTAGTACTCTGCGCTTTCACTGCTGGGTTCGATCCCTGGTTGGGGAGCTAATCCCATGCGTGGCCCCCCAAAAATTGTCCTTTGGGGGAGAAATATCTGTTCTTTGGGGGAGAAACGTTTCTGGAAAGGAAATGATTCCTTTCCTTTCTTCCCTTTTCTCACGTGTTCACCAACGCTCCTTGGCAGATGGCCTGCCTCTGGGCTCACCAGCAATGGATAATTTTCCTATCTTGGTCTTTGCACTGCTAGAGAAGTGCCTTTTAGGGGCGGAGATGTATGTGCTAGCACTTGCACAGAAGGGGCAAATACATCAACCGAGAAGCACACAGCAGCCCAACACAGCTCACGCCTCTATGCAGTGCTGGCGTTCTTCCAGCTCAGAGGCAGGGCCCCTGCAACTCCCCAGTCCCAGACCAGTGTTTCCAAATGTATCTTGGCTCAGAAAAGCACCTTTACCTCCTTTTAGTTATGGTCTGTGGCATCACTGTGAACTTTTGTGTTAAGGGAAGTGTGTGGCCCTTGCCGACTAGCCAGGCTTGATTCTAGCTGGAGTTCTAACTCGGCTTCCATCCCAGCCACCCTAGAGTTGGCTGCATCCCTAAATACTAGAGACCCTGAGAGTCGGCCTAGGTGGATTACTCCAAGACGGGACTGAGAACTCCAGGAGTAGCCCTCTCCCTTCTCCCATCATATATTCTTTCCTTCCCTGAAAATGCCAGATGGAATGGTGTGCCGACGAATGACTCAGGGTGCCCGTCTGCGGAGCAACACTGCCGTCTCCTCTAGGCCCCAACTCATGGCCGTCACCAAGTTCAAATCACTCTTCCATCAGACTCTGGTTAAGATCCTGGCAGATTCCCTGGGTCACCCAGAGGCTGAACCTACCACTTCTTCTTTTTTTTTTTTTTAATTTTGTCCAAGCTGCACAGCTTACAGGATCAGTTCCCCGACCAGGGACTGAATCCAGGCCACTTCAGTGAAAGTGCCAAAACCTAACCACTGGACCGCCAGGGAACTCCTATGAACCTACCACTTCTTAATCCCAAGGCAAGTGAATGGGAGAGTTAGGAATAAGACCAGGTCTCACCCATGTGTTTTCATTCATTCAACAAATGTTTATGGAGCACTCACTGTGTGCCAGGCCCACTACAGGTTAGGTGTTGGAAATAAAAAGGGTATGGGAAGTAAGTAATGACACTATGATTCACAAGCTTTGTGATCTCAATCATGTGACAAAACCTATTTGAACTTCAGTTACTCATGAAACACTGTGAAATAGGAACTTTAGAACGTACATAATTGGCTCAGCAATTTCACTTCCAGATATCTGGTCCAGCAAAGCACTTGCATGGGTGCAGAGAGAATTATGTGTAAGGATGACACTGAAGCATTATTTTTAAAAGTAAAAAAAAAAAAAGATAAACAACCTAACCAGCCACTCTAACCACTAACAGGAGACTGGTTAGTTAAACAAAGGCTCATCTGTATGAGGGAATTCAATATGGCAGTTAAGAGTGATTTACAGTCACTAACTCAGATAATCAAGGTCTATTAAACAAAAAGAACACTGCAGAAAAATACTACTGATTCTATTAAAAAACAACAACAAAGCTATAAATTTGTATATACATTTTTATGGGATCGTCTTAGAGTTCTGAAGGGCTACATGCTAAAATGAAAATCCGAGATTGAGTGAGAGACACTTGTCCTTTGCCCCCTATACTTTGAAAATTGTTTGGATGTTTTCAATTTTAAAAGTTTTCATGTTTTACTTAACAATTAAAATTTGTTACAAAAATTATTGTGACTGTAACATATTAGTTGTTCAGAAAATACCGACTCCTGTAAATCAACTATATGTCAATAAATAAATAAATAAAAATAAAATACCAACTCTTCACACCAATTCCCCCAAAACAAACCAGCATGAGGCCCACATTCATAGTACCTGCTGCCGTGATACCTGCACCGGGAACTGCCTTTGAGAACAAGGCCTGCAGAGTTGGGTGGATGGGTTGAAGAGGAGCCGGGAGCAGACATCTGTGCTGCTGGGAATTCTCTGGAGCCTGCCTGAAACCCGGACAACTCTCAGACAAAAGACTGCCTTCCACCATATCCTCTGCTCTTCAAAACTACTCTCTAAGCTGCTAGAGAGAGGACAGTATTATTTATTATTATTATTATTATTATTATTATTATTATTATTATTATATAGGTAACAATTTCAGTGCTGTTCTCAGAGTGAGGAATATATTTTCACTAATTTTTTTAGGATATTTATTGGGTTTTGTTCCTGATTATAGACAACTTCAAAATGGAGAAAAATATGAAGGAATAAAATTTAAATAATCTGTGATGGTAATCACATACTTTGCTTCATGGGAATATAACTATTTCTGGAAGTATTTTGGCCATAGATATATACTAAATGCCTGAAAATTGTCAAAATTATAATTTGACCCAGAAATTCCACTTGTAGAAATTACTCCTAAAAACAAAAAATCAGGTATTAACACAAACATTCATGTTTAAAGCGGTTCATCATAAGTAAGATCTACAACAGCAAAATGTAGATAGACATTGTAGATGTAGATCCAGTTTTGTTACAATTAGAAATAAAAACTCTTTATTAAAAATATGATTCCTAATGACTATATGAAAATCCCTTTTATGATTGGACAGTGTGTTTGTATCCATTCTCCAGCTCTTGTATATGTAGGTTGGTTCAGATTTTTGTAATTACAAATAATTCTGTAATGTACAGCTTTACATATAAATCTTTAAGGCACATCTCTTTTTAGAATCTCTTAGAACAGATTCCCAGAGATGACTAAGAGAGATAAGAGTCCTTTGCTCCTTTCTGACCACAGTAAGCTCCTAAGAACATGCAGTTGGCAAGTTTTTTCATTCACGTTGTCTCCTTCCCTTACATTTTCCAATTCAGGTCTTTAGCCTTTGCATTGTCCTGCTGCCTCCACCCCCTCATCCTCACTCACAAGCACCAATCCCTTTCTCTGGATGAGGGCCTCCCTGGAGGCCCACTCTCAGCTCTTCAGCCTCTCTCCCTCCAGGGCTCGTGGCCCTGGCTTTTACCCATTTTCCCACACTTACCTCTTGGCTATCCCATCTGAAAATCACAGCCCTCAGAATAAAGGTTAGAGGCTCTGTTACCTGGAAGAAAGGAAAAAGAAATATGCCTGTTCACTATGAGAAGCAGTAACAGGGTCATTCTGTGGAAGAATTAGTTTTTAGATTGGCTCAGAGGGGTGTTTCTCATCAGTTGCTGGGCAGAAACCAGTGAGGAAGTTTAAAATGAAAACTGAAACTGTATTGGATTGTACATGGTGAAGAAAAGTTACAGCCTAATTCTCACACTGTGTTTTTCTAATTGAACCACTTATGTATATGTATGTGTATAATCAGTCTTTCATTATATATACCTGTTTTACATCTTCTATATGATAACAGATTTATTTTATATCAGAAAAGATTTACTGAGTAGAGAAATAAAAGATTTTAACATGTGAAGAGAGGAAGATGTGCATTAATTAAAATGTTTCTGTGGCTATTTGCTAACATCTGTTTGCATGTACACAGGCACATGGAGGAGGATTTATCTTTTACAACAGAGCCAAATGAGAGTATGAGCAGAAAATCAGACCCACTCCACCTTTTCTATTTTTTTATTTTATTTTATTTTTTTTCGGTATGCGGACCTCTCACTGTTGTGGCCTCTCCCATTGCGGAGCACAGGCTCCGGACGCGCAGACTCATCGGCCATGGCTCACTGGCCCAGCCACTCAGCGGCATGTGGGATCTTCCTGGACCAGGGCACAAACCCGTGTCCCCTGCATCGGCAGGTGGACTCTCAACCACTGCGCCACCAGGGAAGCCCATTCCACCTTTTTTAGCACCTTTGAAATTCAGGTCTCAGATCCATTACCAAATAACATAATTTTCAGATTTCCCAAAGCAGTGTTGCTGGTGACCGATGGGCATGTTTTACATTTTTCAGAAAAATTCTTATTTGGGGTGTTGCTCAGAAGCCTCATTCACCCTCTGAGCCTTATTTGTGCTACATTTGTATTTTCATGTGTATTTCTTTCTACTCTGCCCGCAGGATTCTGTGTTTTCCGAGGTTAGATTCTGGATAGTCTGTGGATACTGTTTCTATAAGGGGTCTTTGGGACAAAGTGGTCTTACCTGTGGACTAGAGCCTCCCAAGACAATTTATTTGCCTCCTGAGACAATGATTAAAGCTCAAAGGACTTTGATATGACTTGGCTGATGGAATTTAATTATATATTGGGCTGGCCAAAAAGTTTGTTCGGGTTTTTCTGTAAGATATTATGGAAAAACCTGAACGAACTTTTTGGCCAACTGTGTGTGTGTGTGTGTGTGTGTGTGTGTGTGTATTTTCCTTTTTTTTTTTTTCCCCCCCAGACCAGGGATTGAGCCCAAGCCCGCAGCAGTGAAAGCATGGAGTCCCAACCACTGGAATTCCCGGAATTTAATTATATTACAACAGTTTGAATTTAGGCTCTGTGGTAGAGATGGCTGATTGCTTGTGCAAGCTCTATTTCCTGCTTTTTTTTTTTTTTTTTTAATGTACAAAGAGCTAGCATTCTTTCTGTGGTAAGGTAGATGTCTTGGATGGCCCATTCAAGGACGTTCATGGAGTCCAGCTTAATAAAGCCTACACACCTTGCATCCTGATGGAATACTGGCAGCCCATACTGAGGCAGTATTTTTGGATCAGACTGTGAGGGTTTGAGCAGACACGGCAAGACAACCCTGGCCAAATTTTCTCAGATGGCTCCAGTAGAGCTGGTGGTGACCCACCTTGCTTTCTCATTTCCAATGAGGCAAAAGGTCCCTGCTTCTTAGTACTCAAACCGAATTTTGGGGAGTAGTGCAATGTGCCCATCCTTATAGATAAGAGAGGCCAAGGGACTAAGTTTGAGCCAATGATTTGAAGGCGGAAGTTGTTGGGTTATGTTTCTCAAGACAGGTCCACGATCTTCTATCTCTTTCTTCCTCTTGCCTAGAACATGGTCTTTGGAGCTGGAGTGCAGTGACCAACTTGTGACCATGAGGCAACCTTGAGAATGGAAACTACATGCTGAGAGGGCAGAGAATAAAGACAGAAGGAGGCTGGGGCATGGATGCATCTCTGAGCTGCTGGACCAGCTCTGGACAACTGCCCTCTGAATTCACTTTACGTGAAAGGAAAATAAATCTTGTTTTATTTGAGCCAGAAGTACTTCTGGTCTCTATCATCAGCAGCAAAATACAATTCATCCCTCCCCAGTCCCCACTTATCAACACTTTATCTTGAAACTTTTTAAATGGATAGCAAAGTTGAAAGAATTTTTCAGTGAATGTCTAATACACCTATGGTCTAGATTCTACAGTGAACATTTTACTATACTTGCTTTATTATAATCTATCCTTCTGTTCACACCCCTATCCATCCTTATTTTTTATTTATTCCAATATTTATTGATTTATTTGGTACCTTCTAAAGTAAGTTGCAAACACCAGTGCACTTCCCCTTGGAGACTTCAGCAGACCTAACAGGTAGAACATAGTTCTGAAATGCTTGAGGCACTAATGCTATGTCTGAAATATAAATGTAGGAGTATCTTTAAGTTATATGTTCTAAAATGATCAGAGAGTTATTTTTATCTGGCTGTCCCTAGCTCCTAAATGCCCAGCCATCCCCAAAGATATTGATGGTCTGGCCCCAGGTACCTGGCCACTCTTACTAAGAGTCAGGGCTACCTCCAACAGGCTATGTGTAAGCAGGAGGGCTCCAGGACTGCCTCTCAGGAACAAACTGAGGCAGGGACAAGCAGTGCCTCAGGTCCCTTTTGTCCCTTCCCTGGCACCTACTCAGAGAAATGCTCCTTTCTCTGCTGATACAACAAGGGACTTGAGGTTCTTGAGGACCTGTAGGATTTAGGCCCCCAAATCACATGAAGAAGGGCAGGCATAAAACCACTTATAAAGGAAACTGAGGAAAGGCATGAGATTGAGTTCAGAAATAAAATAAAATAAATAGAAGAAAATAGAAGAGTGGGCATGATATCACAGAGGGGTGAGAAGGTAAAACTTAGCTCAGAAAGTAAAAATCTGCCCTCTCAGTCATCAGGCTGGGATAACAGACATGCCTGATAAAGCCAACTCCATACTTAACAGGAAATAGTATTTCTCTCAAGGTCATGTTGCAGCTGCAAAGGGGCAAAACAGCCCCCTTCTCTGAGTGCTTCCTGCTTTCTGACTCACTGGGAAATTTCGTTTTTAAAATTCACAGTCTGTCAAAAAGCTTTGCTGCTGGAAATCATATCAATGAGAATGAAATATTCCCCTCTTGTCTGGAGGATCCAACCTACTTTGACAACAGAGAAGCAAACTCGATTTCCAGCCTAGATGCTAAACTTCAGAGAAGGGGTTTCTAGGCACAACATTTTGTACCTCTTAACTTTATGGTTTCCAAAGAAATAGGCTCCAGATCCACTTCTCATTCAGACCTTTACATAAAGCCTGGGGAGAGAGATGTATATAAAATGGAGCAGGAAAGAATTCATTGATTCAGCACACTATTATTGAGAACCTACAGTCTAGTAGGTATCAGGCATTGAAGTTAATATTGGAATGGGTAAACCATAGACTTGGAGGCCAGGTTGCCTGGGTGAACTTAACTAGCTGTGTGACCTTGGGCCAATCACTTAACCTCTCTGTGCCTTAGTTGTCCTATATGTAAAATAAGGGTAATAACAGCACCTGTCTTTTGGGTTATTGTTGTGAGAATGAAATGAGATCATTCAGGCAATTTGCTTACAACCATGCTTCATAGAGATTAAGGCATAAAAATGCATGTGCAATAGGGCTTCCCTGGTGGCGCAGTGGTTGAGAGTCCGCCTGCCGATGCAGGGGACACGGGTTCGTGCCCTGGTCCGCGAAGATCCCACATGCTGTGGAGCGGCTAGGCCCGTGAGCCATGGCCGCTGAGCCATGGCCGCTGAGCCTTCGCGTCCGGAGCCTGTGCTCCGCAACGGGAGAGGCCGCAACAGTGAGAGGCCTGCGTACCGCAAAAAAAAAAAATGTATGT